CACAATGACTTCATTATCATGGATATTTAAAAGAACCTCTACATCAAAGTTGGTCATATCGGCCTTCCACTTAAAGTGATCTTGAACAGCACCCCCAAAATCTCTTGCAGCCTCATTTGAGGTAAAGCAGTGTTTCTCTCCTGCCCTATTGCATGTGACTCTGAATTTTATCACTTGAGGCTCTGTTTCTTCTTTTGTGTTTTCATCAGTCTCATCTTTACAAGATGCCAAATCATCACCTACTAATGTTGACACCTCTTCTTTGATGGCTGGGTTTTCATAACAGTCCAAAATATGTGAGTCTAAAGCATTGTTAGTGGAATCTTTTTTAACATCTCTCTCATCTAGTTTGTCTCCTTGCCCATTTTCAGTCTTCCCTTTATTTGAATTCTGATTAATCTTTTTACGCTTTGTTTTTCTTTTCTTGAAACTGGTATTAATTTTCCATACTTTTAGAGGGTCTGACCATGGAAGTTTTCCAGTCAAGCCTTCAAAATCCTTTAAAACTTCTTCCTTTGTTTTTTTGAATTGGTAATCTTTGAACTCCTGAACCACCACAAATAAGTTATCAACTGATCTCAGACAATGAACCTGAGCCAGACTTTCCACTGAAACATCAAAATATATCTTGCCCCGGTCTTTGCTGATTTTACAGGATGACCCCAATTTCTCTCTCACTTCATCTGCAGCTGTCTGCTCAAAGCCAGTAGGTACAGTGGCTCCGATAGTAACTTGGAGATGCTCGCATCCACCATTGAGGCCACTTTCTGTCACTCGTACAGACCTCTGATTCTCATAAAGGTTCACATCCAGGAGTTGGTTAGTGGCTTCTTCTATAACTGACATGTTGGCAGTGCTTCCAAGATTCCCAACACAGTCCCGGTCACCGGTCAGCAATCACCAGCGCAGACTCTTCTGGCCAGGAGAAATGTCTTAAATATTAGTGTTTTCATTTCAGGGTTAGCAGATTGGGTATCTCTCTGAGACTCTCTTTTAACTACACTCCCCACACACTTAATTCCAGTCCCACTGATTTTGAGTCAGTTAACAAAGAAGCAACTCTTATTTTGGCCAAAGTTGAGAATCACCAGCCTGCTACATAACAACACACATGGAAGGTCAATTGAATAAATAGATAAATCATCTAACAAATTTAAAAAGAAATAAGGCCTTCCCAGATCTCCCTCCTGATGTAATTAACCTTCGGGAAGTTCATCCAAAATGGATGGGGTAAGGAGGTAGTCCCTTGAGGGTCAGTAAGGCCAGGGATGTCAAAATACCAGAATACAATAAATAAAAGATATGGTTTTTATGAAGGGATTTCAAGAAATTCCTGTAAAATGGAATTAAGGTATGAGTCTATACAGTGCAAAAAAATTGAAATTCGTGCATAGTTTTTTAATAATATATGTTTTCCATGAACTTTTTAAAGATAACCCCCCAATACTTCTGTTAAGTGCTTACTACAATTCATTTCATCTTTAGTGACATAGGGGTATGTCTGTCTTCCTATCTAGTATGTGAGCCATTGGAAAGGAAAGAAGCATCACATTGCACATAGTAGCTGCCCAGTAACTGTATTCAGCATCTCAGAAAAGCTTGCTGTAAGATAATATAGCATTTGGGAGATGTATATAAAGAAGGCACATGAACAAAAGCTTCAGAATTGGGGCTTTCCCCAATTCTGACAGCAAAGAAGCACTTTGTGGCTATGAGAAGATGGATCTTCACTCATCATCTCCATGTTAAAGGTGAGGAAACCAAGATCCAAAAAACTGAGTATCTGTGTGAGATCCCATAGCACGTACAGACAAGATGATCACTAAAGCCCAACTCTCCTGAACACCTACAGTCAAAAGTTCTTTCCACTCTCCACTTAAAATCAATTTTCTTCTGAAATTAGCAGATGGCATAATAGTTACATGGCTAGACTTCCACATAGTCAACCACAGTTCAAGTCCCAGACTCACTGGTTTAAAATTCACACCAGGTGCATGTGTGTGTGTGCCTAAAATCCTGAGAGGAGAACGGAAAAGAAGGGATTGCAGCTTGGCCAACCACCCCCCACCCCACCCCACCCCTGGGGAGGAGGGATGCTCGAATGATTTCTTGCTTTCTGTCTGTCTCTCCAGCAAGTGCACACACCCTATGGCAAAAAATCTCTCTCAAAAAAAAAAAAAAAAAAAAAAAAAAAATCAATTCCATTCTAAGTCTTTCACCCCAGGGTAATTTTCCCTCCTTTACCAAACTGATGAGTTGCAGGATCGAGGCAAGAACAGATTAAGAAGAGATGGAGCCAGGCTCAAAGATGGGAGCAAATGTCTCTATGCTGAAGTTGATTTTTTTAAATTTATGCTGTATTACCTTCTTCCAATAAAGTAGCTAATTAGGAATTTGCCATACATTTAAAAAAAATTATTAAAATATTTAATTTGGATTTCTTAAATCTATTATTTAACATTTTAATACAGAGTTATTCAATCATTTCTGAAAAATACTAAGAATGTGTCACCACTTTCTTGATCAACCTCAAATGATAAAATTCCTGTTCAAATGTCAGGGCCACTTTAGTACTGGGATATATTTACTATGAGTCTTTGTGAGCAACTGTGTTATTTTGACATGGGAATTTCTCTTCTTAGTATCATCACTAATAATGCAGAGAAAAGCTGGTTGATGTATCTCTCATCCAAAACAATTGTCCTAAAATATTATTTTCAGTGTGTCCCTGGAGTGAAGGTGACCAACTGTCCTGGTTTGCTTGAGACTCAAAGTTTACCAGGGCAGGGGGATCAGCAGTTAGTGTAGTGGCTATGTCGCTGGACTCCCATGTAGTCGACCATGGTTCGAGTCCTGGACCGGTGGCTTAAACTCACACCGGGCACATGTGCATGTGTGCCCAAGATCCCAAGAGGAGAATGGAGGAGAAGGGATTGCAGCATGGTCACCGCCCTGGGGGGTGATTTCTCGCTTTCTGTCTCTTTGTATGTCTCTGTCTTTCTGGCGAGTGCACACCCTATAGCAAAAACCTCTCCAAAAAAAGAAAAAAAAGAATATAAAAAAAATAAGTTTACCAGGACACAAAGCCTTCAAAGCTAAAACCAAAAGAGACCCAAGCAAACCAATGGATGGTCACCTTAATAAAGTAGTTTTGGCAAATAAAGATTCCTGCTCTCACTCTCTGGCCTGCCCTCCAGACCTATGCAAATGTGTTTTTATTATTCATAAAACTAATATAAACCAGTTGAGAAACCATATCTAGAAAAAGAAAACACAGCCACAGGTTAATAACATTTGTCTTTGGGGTGGTAGGACTACTGATGATTTTTTTTCCACTTCTTGTTTTTTCTGTAATTTCCAAACTTTCTAGACTGAATACTCTAATTAATTTAGTTTTTAATTACCAGAGGAGAGGGTTTGTGTATTTGCCAGAGAGAAAAAAGCATTCCCCAGTGGAATGTGGTCACACTGAAATCCTTTTTCCTCTATTTTGCCATTCCTTCAAGATTTGGGCAATGCATACTTTTCAAGCCACCAGAGTTAGGATTTGAACCATATTCAGCCATGTGGAATCTGGTTCCCTCAACCACTGCACTGTGGGGCCGCCCCAATAGTGAACCTTTTTATACAGGTGAAGTAGAATACCTTAGTCTCTCAATTTAGAACAGATAAAAATGGGTTGATGAATAGTATTTATGACAAAGTTAAGTGTCTATTCATTTACAACAAACATCCTAAGATATGTTTCCCAGAGGCAAGAAAAAAGGCTCAACTCTGACATTTGGATAGATTTTTAGAAGGAATAATCACATTTTTACAACAAAGTATCACCATCTGAATATTCCTAAGAAAGCAAACTGATGAAGTGATCCAGCTTTGCTACTTCCAGACCACAATGTGCTCTACAAGCAAATATGCTTGCACTGACCTTTCTTGGAGAAAGGGCTGATCCAGAGGACTAAGAGATCTGGAATGCTGAAGGGTGGCAAGTGAAGTTTCCTGGTGGAAATTGGCATCTCCTCGGTTACTGGGTAAGAGCTTTCCAAACTTACTTGAATCTAAAGGTGATGGTGATTCACGCCTTAAAACAATCCGTTCATCTGGCTCTTTGATAACCTGAGTGACAATATGCAGTATTCTTTAGTAGCAAGATTTTTTGTTTGTTTAATTCACAGCTGGGGGGGTTGATGAAAGACAAGGAAAAGAACTAAGAGTAGGAAGATAAAATTATTTGCCACAGGGATTTCCTACAAAAATAAGAGAACTTCAAAACGTTTGTGAAAAAAATGAAATTAAAGTATGAGTTTCTTTTGGTGCAAAAATATTTTAAATCCATGCATAATTTTATCATAACACACATTTTTACATGAACTTTTTGAAGACACTTTGTAAAAGAAGGATTGGTGTAGAGAAGATGAGAGAGAACATGTTCAAGAGTCAAGACCAAGGAAAAAGCATCAAAAGTCTCTATGTTTGGCATACAAGGGATTCTCAGAAAGCTCACAGGACATGTGTACTATGAAAAAACTATGCATGAATTTCAAAATTTTTGCACCAAAATAAACTTATACTTGAATTTCATTTTTCCAGAAATTTTCTGAAGTTTCCTCCTATATTAACAAGCCAAAGTAAACTCATGCACTGAACTTTGATTTCTGAAGATTAGGGATTATTGGGGCTGGGAACTATATCATTTTAAATGAAACATTCAAATGCTATGACATAAAAAGCATAGTACATTCAATTTTTTTGGCATACATCTATTCTCATGTTGTAACAGAAAAGTTTGAGACTTCACTTTGACAAACCAATGAAACTTAGAGACAAGTGATTTACAACCTCTGTGTATAAAGTTATTCAATTAGAGGAAAAGCAATGAAAATCCCCACTAGTAAAGCAGATACTGGGCCTACATACATTCTCCTGGGTGATTCAGCCTGCAAACGAAAAAAAGCTTATATGAGGGGAGCAAACTAGCTACCTCAAAGCATACAGTGGAGACTCGGCACCTCTTTATAAAACTCTAGGTAAACTATTGCAATTCCACATAAGCAACACTGGCTAGAAATACACTTTCCATGGAGGACTGGAGAAAGCACAGTAATGGATATATGAGAGCTGGAAATAAATCATTTTACAAATGCTACTTCTAAAATTACCTTTACGTTAGCTGCAAGGCTGTCAAGAGAAGAAGCTAGAAGAAAGAGGAACAGGTGTTTCAATGACTCATTATTATCAGTTAGCCCTAAAACTGCTGTTAAGTTATGCCACAGCAGTACAAAAATGTTAGTCAAAGAATGAATTATTAAAGAACTTAAATGCTCCCTTGTAAATTACACTATCAGTTTTAAGTCTCCCTTGAGTCACAGCAATTTTATTATCTATGAGCTTTTCTGTCCTGTTGATAGCAACAGTGAGGCTACATTTTTAATGACAGCACATATGGAAGGGGGACAGTAAATGGACATCTAAAGGGAAGCAATAATCCTAAAGAGAAGCAATAACCACCCTTAAGCAGCCTGAAAAACTCATATTTGCCCAGCTGCCTAGAGCCTAAAAGAAAGCAATGTGGATCTGATATAAAATTCATCAGCTCTGCCTCTTTGCCATTCTTTGGTTTTCATGGAATCGTATTTATGCAGGAGCTCTTGAGTATATTTGTCCAATGTAGACACAAATGTTGAATTGAGACAATGAATACATAAGAGCTTGGAGAAACATAACACAGCCAATATGGAAATAATTATGATTACCATAAATAAACATGATAAGGAGAACTAACAGAAAGTAGTAAGGACGACTAGGAAGTGAAGAAATAACTACCCAGGGAGGAAATCAAGACTAAATTGGATCTTTCCAGGTTTAAAAAAAAAAAAACACGCTTCTGAAATGAGTACTTGCAAGGTGATATTAAGACCACATGGCTACCCACTAGTGTGACTGGGACTTAGGCAGTGACAATGAACTTTTCCTAGCTGCTGATTCCTCCATGCTACTGATAATACGAAAAAAAGTTCTTCTTACTAAAGTTTGGTAATTTTCATATCTTCTGGGCACACATGAATATATGTGTCCATGCTATCCCATGAACAGGAAATCAGCAGTGTAAGACCCTTTGCAGCTATATTCCCAAACCTGCCCTGTGACCTAGTAAGCCCCCTGCTACTGGTTTTGGGCACTCCCTTTCACAGGGGGCTCTCCTTCATCCCCTTGCTTCTCAAAGTACAGTCCATGGACCAGTAGCATCAGGATCACCTGGATGCCTATTAGTAAAGGACCCCCCCCCAGGCCACACCCTAGCCCTACTAAATCAGAATCTGCAGTTTGACAAGATCCCCAGGTGATTCAAATGCACATTCAAGTTGGAGAGGCACTGCTTTTTATTCTACCTTAGGCCTGGATGAATGAGCTGACAGGTGATCTAAGCAAAGGTCTGGCTTGAAAGCTACAGGGATTCCAAAGGATCTGAGCCCAGAGGTCTGAACATCTTCTCTAAATGAAGGTGTGCCAAAAACTTGGTGTGTGACCTGTACACACACTGTGTGTTCCTCTCTGGAACCTTAGTTCTCCACCTGCCAGAATTAAGAAAAAACAAAGGCCAAAACTAGTATGATGTATGAGTCCCATCATAATGGAGCCAGCATTAAGCCCAACTTGTCCTCCTCAGGCAAGGACATTTGCTGTTGCTTGATTTCACTGTAATAGGGAAGACAGTGCTACTTTTATAGGCTACATGGGTGATTTTCAATTCAATGAACTTAAATTAAATGTCAGATGAGGTGGAGCACTTTCTTCTTCAAACCCTGTACTCTGTCCTTTCAAGTGTTCTCAAACAATCACCATGATCTAAGAACGCTGGCTTGATTTACCACAAGAGACTCTGAACCCCCTTGAAAGTATAAACCTTTAAGCCTAAGATAGGGTTTGTCAGATGGCGCAAGTTCAGTCCTACCAGGAAGCACAGATGAAACATCTCCATCCTTTTCTAGGCTAAAAATTTTGATTAAGTTCAGGAATAGCAAATTCACTGCTATACTGATATGATTCACATGTTGCAATCCTAAGATTAAAGTCCTCTATGGGGTGCCTTAGCCCAGTGACTACCAACATGTGGTCCAAGGACCTCCCCAGGGGTCCACAAGAACTTTTAGGAAATTCACAAAGTCAAAACTGTTTTAAATAATAAAATGAAGGGACGAGCAGTTAGTGTAATAGCTATGTTGCTGGCCTCCCATGTAGTAGACCATGGTTCGAGTTCCGGACCTGGTGGCTTAGACTCACACCAGGCGCGTGTGCGTGCATGCTCAAGATCCCAAGAGGAGAATGGAGGAAAAGAGATTGCAGCGTGGCCATCCCTCGGGGGAGGGGGGGTTTTCTCGCTTTCTCTCTCTCTGTCTCTCTCTGTCTTTCTGGTGAGCACACGCACCCTATAGCAAAAACCTCTCAAAAAAAAAAAAAAAAAAGAAAAAAAAAAAGAAAGAAAGAAAAATAAAGCTAAAGACATAATTTGCCTTGTCCACTCTTTCTTTAACACTGACACATTATGGTAGCCTTTGGAAAACTGATGGCTAATAGAATGTGAGATAGAGTATTCTTTCATTATAAACATTTCTCAGTTTTAATTTCTAACATGCTAAATAGTGCTATATATATATGTGTGTGTATGTGTGTATGTATGTATGTATATATATGTGTGTGTGTGTATATATATATTATACATGGGTTTGTTTTTTTTTTCCAAGAGAATATTTTTTTAAGTTTGCCTGTAATGCTGAACAGCAATACATTTTTGTGTATGTGTGAATCTAACCAGGTCTAAGAAATTTATATTGTGTAAGTGAGGTACAGAATTCAAGACTAAATCTGTCATTCTGGGGTTTTGGGGTTTGGATCTGATGAAGAAAAATTGTCAGTACCTCTAAGAGAAAAAAATCCTTTCTTTCTGTGAGATAAAGATCTTGACCTTCTTTTGAGAAAGCTTGAAAGGGCTCATTTCAATCAGGTTTCAAACAAAGTGGAATTTTTTTGGAAACACAATAGAACAAAATACATTACTAAAGTTCTGTTTAACTAGTATGAGGGAACCTTAGGATTCTGATTCCATTATAAAATGTAACCCAACAACAAATAGAACTATCTATAAAAATACGAGTCTTGGAAATATGTCGCCTTGGAAAATGATCTGAAGCTAAGTAAGTAGGCTTATGAATTAAAGCTACCACAGCTTTAATTCACACATGTTTTTCAGTAACCCTCAAGACGTGGAGGAATGGGATGGGAAAACATTTCTCAACATTAGACATTTCTTGTTTCATTACTTTCTCTGGCTTCTGATTTGTTTAGATCATTGTATCTGAACAAAGTTTCCTGGCATTTGTAATTCAATGGGAGAACGCAGAAGATTCTCTCACAAGGGTGTATATGTTGAAAATCATTTTACTGTACTTTCCTGAGTTCTTCAAGCTCCTAACTCAATTTTGAAGCAGTCTGTAAAAACCTTACTTAATTTAAGTCCAAGGTACATGTAGTGCTGTTGTTCTTCGGGCAGAGTATGTTAAACTCGAAGATTCATGAACACATATAATTGAAAAATAAACCTTTATTCTGGGTTTACTCTAGTGGCCTCCAAAAGATTAAACTATTACTGTAAGCAGTCCATTGTTTCTTGCATGTATCTTAGATTTTATTTCCTGTCAGCTATTGCAAGAACTACTAAGAAGAATTAGTTTCACCACACAGTAAATAAATGCTTTCATGCCCTGCATTATTGTTTACACTAAGCTTTGCAGGCACTTAAGCCACAACAGATAATTGTCAACGTGATGAAGCAGTAAAATCACACACAGCCAGCAGTTACAGTGAGGATGTTGTTCTAGAGAGTAGCTAGTAAGACTTAGTGCTTAGACTTTGTTGGTAGGTTAGGGAGAGCCATCAGGTATGAAAATGTATCATGATCACCAATGAAAAAAATTACAGGAGAATTATTTGAGGACCCAAGAATCCTACAAACCCTACATAGCTATGCTTTATTTCTCCCCCTTTATGTGATCTATCTTGCTTAAATCAGGTATGAGCATAAATACTGCTTGGAAGTTCTTAGGAGACATATGAGATTGTTTATCTTATGTCTCTTGTGGGAATTCTGTTCATTCTGAAATTAACACAGGTAAGGGCACAGATTGCAATGTCTGATCTGAAATAATGGTTTTATGACATAAATGCAAATATATTCCTTTTAGAACTTGATTTTTATTAGCTTTTTGTCCTGGGGTGGAGGTCTTTCTCCTCACTTAGTTTTAACCACAGAATGTCTGGATCGCTTCATGTTTTGTGTAACAGGGACATCAGTGAAAGCTATGTTCTGTCTGTGGTGATGTATCGGAGTGCAAACAGGACCCTGTTAGCCATTATGTACCTATTAGCCCTGATTGCCTTCTGATAGCTCCTCACCAGTTGGTTTCTCTCACTTTGACAGATCTAGTACTTTGTTTAACCTTTAAACTAGTAGGGCAATAACACAGCTGACAGAAGGGGAGAAATAATTAAGGAAAACTTAGCCAGGACATTTAAAAATCTCTAACAAGGCAGATATTTCTGTTCAATTTGAGAACTTGTCAAGGGAGGCATACAATTCCCCATAATTGCTCTAGCAAACTGTTTCATAATTTTTGCTCGCTTCAAATTAATTTTAGCAATGTAGCTTAATCAAATTACTAAGTGTCTTTCTTTAAAAATATCTATAATTTACACTCTCAGGAAGTAAGTTTTAATATTTCAATACTTCTAAGAAAAGTGATATCCAAGAGAACTTAATTTCTGGAAGAATCAGAAAGGAAATATATTTTTAAAATATTGTCTAAAAATCTGCCAACAGTCTGAGTCTTACATTTTCTGAAATGGCTGATGCATGTTTTTGGAAAATAGTACAAGTTATAAAAAATGTCCAAGTCCGTATTGTTAGCAACTCCAGGGATGGTCAACAGTAGTTAGAAGAGAACAACTCACCCTAAACTTTATTGGCTTTTGTTTAGAAGTACTTTTGTGAGCAACTTCAGATAATAACTGCCAGGGAAACAGAGCCATCTCATCTTTTCTTCTTTTAATCATTTTCCAGCATTTACTCCGCCTCTTAAGACCTGACCCCCATCACCATACTCATTTCATTTAAAACCATTTTAGTTACTTTAGGGAAAG